ATCTCCTGCATCAGGGACTAGATGCGACAGCCGATTTGGTCGGAATATAGTTCCGTTTTCTCAGAGAACCGATTGCCTTGACAGCCGATGTGGAGGGAATGTTTGTACAGGTGAAAGTTTCGGAGTTTGACCGTGGTGCTTTGTAGTTCCTCTGGTGGCCAGAGGGTGTTCATTCGAAGGATCCTATTGAATACCTGATGACGTAACACCCGTTCGGCGCAGTGTCCGCGCAAGTTTGTGCGCGTTTTGCGATGGCAAAGGCCGCCAAGATGTGCGCCAACGATCGTGATGGCTATGTGGTGGAAGCAGAAATACAAGCACAATTTTCGTGTTGACGGTTAATTCAGGCGGCATAAAAATCTGAGACCCAAGCTAAGCATCTGACCGACACTTTTATTGCGCCAAAAAGTCCATTTCCATACATGCAACAGTCGGTTTACTATAGGTGAAGACGCTGGGTAGTGAGCGGCTGTTGACCTGCTACCCAAGATTATTGGATTCCGGCTGTTACAGTGCTCAAGAAATCGTCACCGCTGTACCTGGCAAGCGAAGGAAGGTGTTCCTTGAGTCAGTTTCGAACACAGAAGGTGGCATTTAGATGGACCCACCTCCAGGTACAAGGTAATTCCCTTTTGATACTTTTGTGCGTCGTAGATCTAATGATGGTATGACTATTCACTGTAGTAAGACCAGCCCTAGCAGGACTTCTGCTGAACTGTAGGCACAACAGCTGGATGAAAGGCGGGAGTTAGAGCTTCGTGAGTCCAAGGCTAAATAAAAACAGAAAATACTGCTTTTGCACAAAGAATTGAGCTTATTAGATGTGAAGGGGGGTTTGGGTGACACTTTCTTGTTGGATGATGATATTGGGTGTCACGAATCAGTTTGTTTTGGTATTAACCCCCGCGGCAGGCTTGATCCCGAAATCGTGAGCCAGATAGGTAGCTTAGAGAACAAGGAGATTGCTGCCACTTTTTCCTGCATTAATGTCAACCATGAGTTGCCAAGGGTAAAATTATGCAGCTTTGATGGACATAAAGTCAAACACTGGAAGTTTATGAGGCAGCCTGAGCTTAACGTTTTCTCTAAGGTAGATGATGATGGACAGTGGCTGTTATACTTGTTGCATTACTGTAAAGGTAAGACCAGGGAGGCTATAGAGGAATGTATCGTGCTACTACTGCCTGCCAGTTAACGCAGGGCGCAAAACGTTCTTAAATGCTTGTTCGAATGGACCCATGAGGCTAGCCCGGCTCTACTGCAAGATTTGATAGAATTTTCTAACATAGGACAATATGATGTTGAGATGTTCAGGTTGGCCATAAAAATGGAAAATTGCTCTATAACCCCCAGAACAAGTGGACTACACCATAGACATTGACTCCTTGAGAACTTCTGGAGGCACAGTAAGGAAAATTGCTCCCCGTGTTACAGATGAAATGGACAGAGACTGTCGAAAACTTGACCGGCAACGAACGAGGACTCACCATCGCAGAGTTGACGCAGTTTGTTTCAGTACGTGCGGGCATTTCGCTAAGTAGGTTCAGTCAGTTGGCAACAAGAAGTGGATGATAAAGCAGTATTACAGCATCTTACATGCAGCAGTTAGTGCCCGCTGGGGCAGCTATGAAACTTTCATGTATAGTTTGTGGAGGAGGCCACGTAATCCCAAAATTTGCCGCATTCCTGAGGCTACAGGTGGATGAGAGATGGTCAAAGGCTAAAGAAATCGGTTGTTGTTTTTCTTGTCTTAAAAACGGCTACAGGTCCGTGGAATGTAAAAATCATAGGGTGCGCAGTCTGGAAGGTCGTAAAGCACCCCATCACCTTCTTATACATAAAAAGACCCAGGGTATCGCAGGCGAAAAACTGGAGGAAAGTAGCGGTGGATGTACTGAGTTCCTCAGAGAGAGCGTTTGTTTAGGGTAGGCGTAAAGCACGGCAATAAAATGGTTTGCAGTTATGCCCTCTTGGACAATGGCTGTGATACAACTTCGAACACGAAAGATATCTCGCCACTTCTAGGATTGTCGACTGGTGGCACAAAGACTACCGTCAAAACCGTCAGCGGAAGTAGGGCGGCCAGCCCAATCAGTAAGTCTTTTGAAGTTCATTCACTAGACGGAAGCGAATGTATGTTTATAGATTGGGCAATTGTGGCAAAAGTTCTGCCGGTGTGCGGACCCAGAAGGTCGATGCGAGAAAGTATTAAAACGTGATCGCATCCCACTGGCGTGCCCTGAACAGAGGTGGAAGACGAGGAAGTTTTGTTGTTCATTGGTTGTGACGTACCTGACGCTCACTGGGTTCTGGATCAGAAGTTAGGGGCAGGAAAAGCCCGTATGGTGTGAGAATATTGTTAGGTTGAGTCGTGTTTGGTCGGAAAAGCTTTTATGAGCGCAAGGAGAGATTCGGGAATTGTATGCCTGGGTCAGTTTTATTAATCGACTGATGGATGAAGAATTACGACCGTGAGTTCGGTGATTTATACTCTGTAGGCAAGTGGCTATCGCTTGATAACTTCGCGGCGGTGAACATCATGAAGCAAGGTACTTACTGGGATAACTGACATTCTGTTGTCCCCCTGACCTGGAAATTGAGTCTAAGACGGCAAATGGTAAGTGTGAAGTAGCCAGGTGCTGTTTAGCGAGTTTGAAACATAGACTAATATCCTCAGAAGGCTCGTGTGAAAGCCGCATTAGTGCCATGCAGGAGACTATTGGAAAGGGATATGAGACGGTAGTTCCTGAGCTTCAGCTTAATTCGGACTACAGCCCACGATGATACTCGTCGCATCACGCCGTGTTTAACCCCAGAAAACCGGGGAAGGCAAGAGTTGTACTAGGCTGCCCTGCCAAACTGTCCAGAACTTCGTTAAATGATCTCCTGCATCAGGGACTAGATGCGACAGCCGATTTGGTCGGAATATAGTTCCGTTTTCTCAGAGAACCGATTGCCTTGACAGCCGATGTGGAGGGAATGTTTGTACAGGTGAAAGTTTCGGAGTTTGACCGTGGTGCTTTGTAGTTCCTCTGGTGGCCAGAGGGTGTTCATTCGAAGGATCCTATTGAATACCTGATGACGTAACACCCGTTCGGCGCAGTGTCCGCGCAAGTTTGTGCGCGTTTTGCGATGGCAAAGGCCGCCAAGATGTGCGCCAACGATCGTGATGGCTATGTGGTGGAAGCAGAAATACAAGCACAATTTTCGTGTTGACGGTTAATTCAGGCGGCATAAAAATCTGAGACCCAAGCTAAGCATCTGACCGACACTTTTATTGCGCCAAAAAGTCCATTTCCATACATGCAACATTTTTTCCCTATTTTCTTATTGACTCAAAAAATAGATAGTTGGAAACAGTTTGGAATATGAAAGATAACATGATACGTTCAAACGACATTTTTGAAAGATTTATAGAAATTGAAAGGAAAGAACTTGATGAAAAATGTTTGGTGGGTACATTTGGTAGCCCAAAGTTCAGACAGAACGCCAGGAGATAGCACGTTAAGCGCTACCACATTTGACTGTGGCTCCAAGTAAGCTTGAACTGCTGTGCAGATACAAATGGTGCACAAAGTAATAATAGCTTATTTCGCATAGCAAGATTTTTATGAACTGGATGCAGGCGATAAAACGACTGGAATCAAACAAACCGTTTCCGGTCCATCGGCCGCATGAAGGCTTGGATAAGGGTGCACCGCAAAAATTATATCGTATCATGGAAACATGATAACGGTCGTCTTTACTTTTCATTATCATGTTGATATCCCGACTGTCAAGTTACTTACTACTTCACCTCCATCTCCTGCTCCTCAGTGGCCACCAGCTTCACTCTTTCGGCTATCTGAATGTGATATACCAAGTAGACTGCCTGTTTATTATTTAGCTTCACATAACTTGACAAATAGCAGTTGTACTATTCGCTCTTCCCAGTAACACCTTTTAGTCCTCCTTTAGGATTTCTCCTGGTGCGAACTTGACAGACGCAAAGACCAATCACTAATTATTCGAACTTGTTATATACCCACGAATACGAGACCAAGGAAGAACACGATAGCGTAGTCGGATGGAATAGTATATTTGGATGGTTATGCCAAAATACCGATGCGTTCCAACTAACTGGCTAGAGAGTCGAATACGAGTAATGCAACGTAACACGACAGCGTGCCAAATGGCCAGGATGCTTGACCGGGTGCCTTCAGCTTAGCGAGTCCAGTTAAACTATCAAGGTCAGCATCGATGTCGAAAGTCGTCAAACCCTAGGCTACTGATTTTGGGGAAGTGTATGACGCTACACTCCTACTCCTTTGAAAGGATTCTGTATGACAGTGCCATTGCCCTAGAGGCCTAGGCAGTGACTAGGGTCTAGTCAAGATCTGCAAAACCCTATCAGAAAGATGGCTGGACAAAATAAGTTAGAATTCATCATAGACGTGGAACCGTTAAACAAAACGAGGAAGAAAGTGGGAAGCAACTACTTGATTTGCACGAACTCCCGAGGCATGTGTTAGATAGTGGACACCTATCCACTCTCTGCCCCACAAGTCAGCACTTTTGGGTGCGAAATCTTGACCCTTCCTCCCAGTTCAATGAGACTGTCACCAAAATATGAATTTCTTTCCCAGACGATTAAACATTAGGAGGGTGAAGTAAGTTCTTGTTGCATCATATAGATAGGTTTAAATATAACCCCAGTGTGTTTAAAAAAATTGAAAACAAGATTCTTCTAGACGTTTGGCTGTGTATGTCACAGCTTCTTCATGACAGTCGTAACAACTATGGGCTGGATGTTTCTAAGCTCTTGTTAATACGATGAAGGACTTTTTGTTATGTCTTTGTCAAATTAGATAGACAAACTGACTGACAGTGGCTCCAGCATTCCAAAATAAGTGTATTCAGCAAAGAACTGCAAACCATTATTGATAGACGTTTTAAACGATGTTGATGTAGTAGCTCGTCCTTTATTGCTAATTCAAATTTAAAATATTTAGCGCAAAAGAATGGGGTGTTGTGGCCAGTCGGATGATAATGGTAATTTTCTGGTTTTTGCCGTATTTCGTGATACAAGTTCACGGAGTAGCAGTGACCAATAATTAGTAATCCTTTAAAGCTTAATGATTTGTAGTAATACGAGGATCCGTAGGAGGATATTCCGAAATCCTTAAGTGAGATTACGTTTTTCAATGTTATTTTGTTTCTGAACAATACCAGCCGGGGAGAACTCCCTATTAAGAGTAATTCAAACTATAAGGGTTCTAAAGAGAAGCTCTGGAAGTCAGGATTCTGATTTAAGAGCTAATTCTATTCTCAACCAACATTTTTGCGTGAAAAAGTTGGGTTCAGGGTAATTTTTCGAGGAAATAGGATGCTACAGGGAAGAGTTTTTGCATAAGTGGCGCTAAATTTTTAATTGAATGTCGTTATTGTTGTCATTGTAACAAGCTATAGCGTGATTGAAAATATGGGACATGGTTTTCTAGATAGAGGAGTGCTGCTGTTAATGTTCCATAAATAGCTTTAGATCCGAAAACGCACTTCCTGTTGTAACGTAAAGTTCACTACCCATTTGAAAACAGTTGTGTTTAACTATGATAAGTTGGGCAATGAAATCGATGATCTTGTATATAAGCTAAACTATTTTATTCCAAATTTTAAATGCATGGGAAGTTAGATATGAAACTGCTTGAGGGCGTTTCTTAGGTCGTCTATCATCACAAATTCGTCGTTAATCTTTCCTAAAGAACTCTCGAGACAAGGTTAAGGGGAACAACACTGCAATTGTTCAGTCACAGTTCGTCTCTTACCTGTGCACGTATGTATATGGACATATGTACTTCTAATATATATCTGGGTGCGTACATATTTCTAATATGTGTGTAGTATATTGTGGTATTGTGTAGAGTGACTTACTGAACGTATGTTACATGCGTCACTCAAACTGCAATCATATAAAAAGGACTGAATTAAGCAAAAATGTTGCCTTCTGGTTTTTCTTTTTACCGCTGTGACAACTAGGATTATTATTTCGATCTATTGAGCTGTTCATCTCCTATCAAAGCTCACATAGTGAAGCTAAGCCTATCGGAGAGGCATCTTGGAGGATATTACTGAATCCCATGCCAGCGAACTGACAGTGGTAATCGTCTGTTGCAGTTTTGTTCTAGCCAGCACTAACTTTAGGCATAAGGAGAGACACTCTCAAGATAATAAGTAGTGAAACATCACCGAAAAGAATGGGACGCTGATAACCTCTCAGGATAGGTGGCTAGAATGTTCAATAGAACACTGAAGCACAGTTCAATTGGACGTTAACAACGCTTTATTTGCTTAACATTCAGCCTGAACCCAAGTAGGACGTAGATGTTGATCCTTCAACTCTCCTTGAAGTTGAGGTTATATCGAACCTGAAACGATGAAAAGCAGCAGGACCTAGCAGTTTGTCACCGTAAGTTTTCAAGGATGGAGGTAGAAAGTTGCTGATTGGAGTGACGGAAGTACTAGGTAGTGTATAAGAATCAGAGGTAGTGCCATCAGACTGGTCTACTTCACTGACCATCCTAGTCTACAAGAAAAGAGAGAAGTCTTTCGTGACAACCATAAAAGCATTAGTTTGACTAATATTGTGTCGAAGATCCTAGAGTCCACAGTTATCTGACACCTAACTGGAGCTCAAAAACAGCAGTTCAGAGAAAATCAAGGAGGTTTCAGATATGGAAGAGGGTGCGCCGATCATATTTTTGCCCTCTGAAGGGTTCTGGAGCACAGGCATACTTACAGGCCGCCAACACTTGCCATATTTGTTGACTTGAAGGGGTATTTGACCCTGTCGACTGTGAGGTGTTATGGCAGTGTCTGACTGAAGGGAGTTATGAACAAGTATATGGCGTTTATCAAAGCTCTCTACTCGAACTTACGCAGGCGTGTAAGGGCTTATGGAGAGTTGTCATGTGAATTGATGACAACTAGTGGTGTTTGTCAGGTATATCCACTGTCACCATTCCTATTTAACTTCCTCATAGACGTACCAATGGACTGTAAGCTTAGGTAAATCTGATTTCACAGGGTTTGACCCACTACCTGGAGGTCATCTGGTTGACGTAGAGTATGCAGACGATATTGTCCTGCTAGGTGAAGACCCTGACGCAGAGCAGGGTCTTCTGGACCCGTTGAGCAGAAATCTGAGTACGTTTGGCATGCGTCTCGGTGGTGCTTGTCAAATATATGATGTTCCAGGAATGGTTTGCTGCAAGTGCTCCCAGTTTAAATTGGTAAGGAGTGAAATGGTGGAATGTGTCGACCACTGCACTTACTTGGGAAGTTGCATCAGCCCACCGGATGGGGTGGTTGCTGAATAAATCTCAGTTCAAACACAGATGACTTGTTTAGCATTTGCCAACTTGCTTGATCTCTGGCGCCGACTTGTGAGGTATGCGACCATCTATCAAAGAACGAGTATACTAAGCTGTAGTTCGTTCTATCTTCTTATGCAGCTGTGAGACATGACCGTTAAAAGTAGAAGATATGAAGAGATTACAGGTTTTCTATCACATGTGTCTTCATAGCCTTGCTCGTGCGTGGTGTAATCACTGTAAGTAGTGTTGAGGTTAGGCGAATGGTACGCTGCAAGACAGGCGAGTTGATTGATCAAGTTGTGAACCTTCATTGAATGAGATGGCTTGGACATGTACTGCGCATGCCGAGCCATCATCTACCTCGACGTGCAATGCTAGAGGAAGTTGTATTAGGTTGGAAGAGGGTTCAGGGTGGTCACACCAAGACGTGGCTGTACTCCATAAAGTCTCTTTTGGTCTGAGCCGTGTGAGGAGATCTAAACTACCGAACTAAGGTCCCTGAGACGAAAGGAACCAGTGGTTAAGAATTCTTGGTGACATGGCTGAAAGCCGATCACAATGGCATATATGTATTCTTTCCTTAGCATGTTCTAAAGGTTGAATATTCGTACTAACCGTTATCTTCAAATTGTTTGTCCTCTCAAACTACTTTACCTACTTTGATATCACTCCTTTTCTATCCGTTTTTTCTTTTTGTACTACTGTGAAGCGTGTCAACTTGGACTGATGCAGTTGTGTGCGAGGTTCTACGTTGATTTTGTCAGTCAATCAGTCTCAAATAATCCTTGTAACCGAATGAGTGTTATAAACTGTATTCGATTTCTTTTTTCGATAGCAGTCAACTGCTCGTTATGTTTTCAGTCTATCTGACTTTCTGATGCAAAAATTCACCACAAATTCTAGACTCTGGGTAGCATACACTGGTGGGTGACGTGCTTATTTTCAACAGGTTATTCCAACATTGTTAGTGTCTTTGACTCAATAGTTTGATAGGTTTGCTAAATTTAGACCCTCTACGTGTTATAACTCAATCTTTGTGATATAAAGATCGCATTAAAAATTTATAATGCGTTTAGATTCAGAATTTAAACACACTGATAAAATAAATGGTAATTTTCCGCATGTTTTTGCTGCTATTCAAGGTAAGATTAAGTTTCTAAATAAAAAAAAGACCCAAGGCGGCCAGACTAAAACATGGCACCAATGTATGAAGTCTCTGACTGTTGGTTTGAGCCATGTGGGTTGGTTTAGACTAGCCGGTTAGGGTCCGCGGGACAAGAGGAAGGAGTGGTTGGAGACTTTAGGTGATATGTCTCAGAACCGATGTCAGTGGCGCAGATGTATACACACATTATCCTCATCTTAACGACGGTATACCGAATTCCACCATTTCCTCATTCTTCCTTTCTCCCTTTTAGTACTCGATATTTCTTTTGACTGAATTTTCTTTTCTTCATCTTCACTGCCTTTTTACTTGGTGTACTGATATGAGGTGTGGAAACTCGTACCGTTACACAGTAATGCCTGGTCGTATTGTGATAGATGATGATGATCTAAAAATAAAATCCAGTTACGTCCTAGAGGTTAGCATACAAGTTTATATATCATATTTTATATATAAAAGCTTGTGGTACTACTTGGTTTTTCAGGCTGCTGTAGATAAAATGAGATTAGATTGGCATGCCGTTACTTAATAATCGGTTGTTTGAACCAGCTAACTATAACCCCTTTATTTTAGACCATAACTTATTTTTCCCTTAAGATGACTATCACCACTCATTTGTGTTTTTTCTATCAATGAAGAGTTAATTTTATTCAGTGGCCAATTGCTAAAGCACTTCGTTAATCATAGTCCATTTTCGTGTTTTAGATGCCGTGAAAAAACGCCGTATTGCGGGTCCTATACGCAATAGGTGAGTTTTTCTCCCATACTCAAGCCCATATTTCGTTTATTAACTTCCTAATGCATCGTATAGTCTCGTTTTGTATATATCTGACTTTTTATCCTTTTCTAAAGAAAGGTGTACAACTGTCTATATATATATATATATATATATATATATATATATATATATATATATATATATATTCTACTGTAGTTTGTGAAAACGTCGGCGACTACCGTTTAACAATAAGATAAACTGAAGTTTTAGGCTTATCCAGTCAATTTTAATTACTTGGGTAATTTTTGGTAAATTTTATTAATCGTACCCTAAGGCTTATTACACTAACCAGGATACACTTAGCAAGTTGCATTTTGATGGCATTTTTTGACCAATCTAAGTTTAAACAGTGTTATGATTTTAAGGGTAAAATAATGTATGATCATGGTAGATTTTCACCGACTCAACACACTTTTAGTTTAATTCTTCAGTAATTTGTCTGATGTTAAAATGATATCAAATGTAATTAAAGCTTGAGGTTTCCACAAAATCTGTGAAATCTGTCAGTCCTTTATTTTTAATGCTGTTTAAGTAATAAGCGTGTTCATATCAATGTCTAAAGGTAGACTTCAGCTAGCGATACACTTTGCTAATCTCTCCTGATAATTTGCTAACAGCAACGCTGTCTGTAAATCAAAATTAGTATATCAAGATTTATGATACTGTCCTGTTTTCCAGGAAGTAGGTGGAGCTCGATTAGAGTTCGGTACCCATTACTCTAAGATTAGTGGACATTATCTGCGCAAAGGTATTTCATTTATGCATAGATGCGGTAGTGAATCGTTTCTTCAACTTAGTTTCAGTCCTTGTTTACTAAAAGTAGGTTGTTTCATCTGGTGTTCTAAGACGTCTTTGAAATAGGTATTTTGGTCAAATGGTAACTTGATAATTACTTGTCTGGCAGTAACATAAACAAAAATCATTTGGCTGTGGAATGCACGGAGAGTTGTAAAGGTCAATTTTAACTGTCTGGTTTACTGTATCGTTCTATTTTTGTTAGCTTTACTTCTTTGGAAAAGTTTTTTCATGTTCACCGTCGTGTTAGACGATTTTGCATTACTCCAAACTGGTTAACTTCTTGCTTTTACAAATGAATCACTTTACAGATTCTATGAACATGTTTCCTGGTGGTTAATGTTCACTGTTCTCTCTTTTCACCAACTCTGGAACTTTAACTCATAAAATGTATACATAACACTTTTCCATGTTTCTGAGAAAGCAATAATGTAAAAGAAACTTTGGGCACCATGGTAACAGTGTAATTCCATATTAGGTTGTGTATTTGACAGACAGCACATGGTGATACTGTATTATTTACTGGATGATATTTCGAGCAGTTCTTCATTCCCATATTTTAATGGTAATAAAAGTTCCCAGATATTTGTCGTGTGTGATGAATCACTCCAGTTACGTGTTAGGCATTGATTAGATGAACAAAGATTCTGTAATCAGTCTCTCCCACCTGTATTGGAGTCTAGATTAGTCATCCTATCCCACCCCCTACAGTGTGGTTATGTGTCACTGCATGCAGATTAGCAGCCAAGTTTCCCTCTAAACTACATATCTTATTAGGGTCTACCATTGTGTCACTAAATTTTTGTACTCTCCTATAGTGAGTGGTCCTAATCGGCTGTTTTGATCTATATACCTGATGTGAAAGATTAAGTTTATTTTTCTTAATTGGCTCTACTGCATCTTTTGGCTTATAAAGTTTTCTATCTGAGCGAGTTTGTGGGTCTGAATGTCACTCTGATCTCATCATTGTTAGGTGAAATTTCCAATTTGCCTATCTTGATGGATATAAGGTGAGATGATGTGAAATTGACGCATCTTTTAGAATGTGTTATTTTCCGATAAACGCTGGTATCTAAGCGTCCACCTTCTCTCCTCTTGATTTTGAAATCCAACATAAGTAATTCTCCTTCTTCATTTTCTAATTCATAAGTGAATTGGATTGCATCTACTATTGAGAAAATGTGTGTGTGTGAAAAAAGTCTAGATATGTTTTGACTTCAACACAGTGAATATGTCACCTACCTATCGCCACCGTACTTTTAGGGTGGGTTGTAATCTTCCTAATGCCATCGACACCTAACTATCCATAAATATGTATGATATGATCGGGAATATTGGAGATTCCATCTCCAGTCCTTCCTTGTGTATTTATATATTTTGTATTGAAATTGGAAAGCCGAGAAAGTTAGGCATAGTCATATCCCTAGCACAATTTCTTCAATTGAAAATTTAGTTCTATTACTGAGTTCATGTTCAGTAGTGAGTTTATTTTTAACTGCCTCAAGTGCAATACTAATTGGTATTTTTATATTGAGAGGCTGATCACATCAAAGCTGTCCATCTTTTCTCCCTCTTGTATTTCCACATATTGTTTAGTCTGTGATTCAATTCAAAGGAATTGGTGAGCCTGGACTACAACAGATTTATAATAGGCCATAGTTATTTCACCTAAATATATACAGGCGACGCTCACAATATGTCAACCATCTTAATGATGCCATACATTCTACTGAGATTACTATTCTCAGACAATAAATTCAACGGTAGAGAGTCACCGGGAGATGGTTCCACTCGGTGGACTACATCAACTGTGTACCTTTTAACTCTTGTTCATAATTGTGTCTACAGACTGTGTTTAACATCCTCATATAGTCGACTTGTGATACGAGGGGAGTTTGAATGTTACGAAATCACTTTGGTGTGAACATGAACAATAGATTATCCTCGAAATGTCATCCAGTAAACAATATAATATATTGAATAAACAATCGAATATTGAATTTCATACAGGTTGATGGCAAGGGGTAGTTTTGTGTTGAGGCTGCTGATGTACATTTATTGAGGTGTCAGTGTGTCTTTCCTAGTGATAGAGTCTACAATCATTTCTTCCTTCCTTTGTTTTTCTTTTACAGATCATGTACGGACATTCCTTGTTGTATAGTATTCGCCATTTTCATTGTTGGCTTTCTTATTGTTACTTTATGGAGTAAGTACTAATCGGTAACCTGATTGACCAAAGTATCTGTTAATCTTTTATTTTTCCTATGAATTATTTTTGCATTTATATTTACTCCCAATTAATTCATTACTTTTCTGTGAAAATTTTTCCCGAGTTTAAAGAAATTGAATCAACGTACAACAACTATACAAGTTTTTATACTTTGAAGTCACACTGTTAATAACACATAAATGCAGCGATATATTACAAGCGTTCTTGAACTAGGCTTTTATACTCAGAGTTGTTTGACTACAATGAGTGATTTATTTTATCAGTGGAAGGTGCATGGAATTGTTAGTAGTCTTGCACTCATTGGTGACTAGCTTCGAGAGGTGATTTCCCAAGTTCGTGATTAGTGAAGCCAACCAAGTCGAACATGGGGGCAGTTAATCAACAATGAAATCGAGTGATGGTCGCGCTATGTCGTGTACTGACAGAAATAGGAAACAAGGACCATTGGATTCCGACCTAGTGGCCCAGTGGTAACGTGCTGGCCATGGAAACTGAGGATCCTGGGTTCGACCACTGAGGAGCGGGATCATTGGTGTGCAATGCTGAGTATTCCCATACTAGGATGAAACAACTGCTCAGTGCTCTCGGATTTCCAATGTTCTTCCAGTTGACGTCAGTCCATGATGAATAGCAGCTTCAATTCGTTTAGTATTGGAATATGCTTCACTTCTTTACGAAGTTAGTGCCGAAGATGTCACTAAGCTGAGTGATGAAACGTTCGCGAGAAAACATCAAACCACTATCGTAATACTATCTTTTCTTGTAGATTACTTGTATCAGAAGTGCTGTAGCATCCACATCATGATGCATGATGGCATCATTAGGGATACCTATATCCCTTATATTGCATACTTACAGTTTGTATATATTTGAAGTGGTTTATTTCGCGCTCTTTTCCCGCTCATCGGTCATATTTCTTATGACCCGCTATTGTTCTGATTGGCTTCTACCTCTTTAAATGTATTAATTATTCTTTTCCCTTCAAGGTTACTGTAAAATCTATAAGTGGGGTCCATTTTCACTCATGAACGTTTTCAAGCCGAGATACCATAAACTCATCTGATTTCCAGTCTTTTGATTTCTCTTTGCGAATCACTCGATTTGAATCGTTTCAACCCTTGACTATCAATCGTTAAGTATTTTCGTTCGTTTTCACAACTCCGCATCATAATAGGTATATTTCGTAGTCACTCAATGAATATTTCTTTCTTACAAAGCCAGTCGCTATCTGGATTCTAAAATGTGTACATAATACAATGCTTAACTTAAGGGGGATTACTATCATATATGCATAGCCGGACTAACCAGGAAACTTCTCTTGATTTTTTCATATTAGGTTTCGCTATGGGAGATTATAAACGTGTTGTTTATCCAACCAATTCACAGGGACAGATATGTGGTCGTGATGTTGTGTAAGTCGAATACATTATTTTCGTTTGTTGTGCATATCTTCCTTCCAGTTGTGTAATAGTATCAAAGCAATGTGTTTGATAACTGTTTTTTTGCTTAGCGTAAATCCATAGCAGTTACTTGGGCGTACGTCGCCACCTTAGTCTGACCGTAAAAGGTGGGGATCACAATGCTTCCGTCCAAACAGTTTGCTCTACGCCTGTGAAGCCCGGCGTCTCCTAGCTGAGGATATGCGATGGCTGTGTGTGTTCGATCATTGTTGTCTCCATAGGATTGTTCATATCCGGTGGCGGCAATACCATATAAGTAATCCGGAGGTACGACATCGTGCGTTTGGACAGTAGGGAGATCGTCATTCAATAAGTAAGGTCATCTGGAGACACCGGCTTCAGTGGCTTGAACAGGTGTCATGCATGTCGTCCCAACGGCTTCCACATCGTTCATTGCTTTGCTAATCCTGGAACTCGATGGAAAAAGTGGAGGAACGATCAGTGTATGACGTAGTGTCGTGGGACGAAGGATAGTTATGTCGGATTGCCATCTGTTGCTTCACCACGACTCTCTGGGTGAGGTCCAAGAGACTACGCAACTCAGTGGCTTGAGACGTTATAATATATAGTTCAGAATGGAAACCACTAGCGGTCATAGTGTAGCGTCCCTCAATCCTCTGCTACTGAAAAGTAATGAATGTTTTGTTCCTAATATACATTACTGAACTGCACTTCTAATCATTCTGTTCTTATCGTGTTTTATTTTTATCCACTTCCCTTCGCTTTGCCTTCATATTGTTGTCATATTATTTTATGTGGCTCATTTCTTGATGCCCTTGTTGTACCACGCTTGTGTTCTAATAATAATAATACTGATTATGTATGGTGGAATCTCATTGCGAATAACGGTAGAATACTTGATTATTAGTAGTATTACCTGTAAATTCCCTTTTATGCTTCTTAATTTATTGACAATACATTTGGTTAGGGTAAATACCTATGCATAAAGTCTGATTATTCTCAACCTTTGGGTACGAAATTCTAACTTATTTTCGGGTGTTAAAAAGTGGTCAGCTAACAGTAAAAAAAACAGAAATAATTGGGAGTGCAAAACCAGATTTACTTCTAGCAAACTTTTACGTTGCATAATCTGGGGGTGTTTGTTTTTTGTTTACATTCAATGATTGATTAAGGGTATTTTTGCTGAAATATTTATTCAACACATTTACAGATAGTATGGTTTGTTAGTTCAATAAAGAAAGCACTTGTTTATCCATCCAACATTGGTTCGCTCAACTAGGTTTTGAATTACATAATGAAGAGATTAATTAGATGAAGTAGGAAGGAAAATCTGAAAGCCAGCAGGCTAATCCAAGGATTATTCTCATAAAATACTCCTTCATTTCACTGTGGCTATGTGATTATGGAGCTGTGGGTTATGGATTCGAGCTCTGCGCCACATCTCGTGGTCTGAGTAGCCAGAAGCAGCCCTCATACAATAGGCGTGATTCATTGCCTACTGCGCAAACGTGCACAAGATTGCTGAGTGCACTCGGATTCCTCATCTCTGGTTACATCATTATTTGCCCCTTGAGTTCCTAGTGGAACATAGGGCTTCAGTAACACGTCACCATTTCACTCTCTTCTCTCCAGTCTTTTTAACCTTGCTCCACCACTACCCACAAGCTTTCATTTCTTCCTCACACCATCTCCATGTCACCCTCGGACGCCTAACTTTTCTTTTCCCATTTGGGTTCCACTCTTGTGCCTGGTTTAACGCGTGATGTCCCCAAGCGGTCTTCCTAGTATATGTCCAATTCAACCACTCCCCATCTGCGTATATGTTGGGTGATACGTTCTTGGTTGGTTCGTTGCCAGCCAGATTTCCTTGTTGCTTGTTCTTATTATTGTGACCATCTGATTTCCATCTTCAGTATCGAGTGAGCGTAGGCAACAGCTGTTGATGAGTGTCTGTAGTTTGTTGGAAATGCTTATCGTAACGCGCCAAGTCTCTCAACCAACACATGGAAGCACTGACTTACTTGACTGAATTCGTGTTGAAAATCCAGATGTTCACGCTTTATGCTGAGTGCAGTGCAGTGCAATGGATCTCCACACTGGTTTCAGATTGGTGAAGGCCTGTCTTGCTGTCGTTCCGATCCTGGCTGGCTTTGACATCCTCATCTGTGCCGCCAACACCGCCTATAGTCGAAATGATGCTGCCTAGGTGGTTGGTGAAAGAGACAACTTCCTTTAGATTTCTCCCATTGATGGTGATTGGTCCTTATTGTTGATGTTGTTGCTGGTTGGGTATCTTCATCACCTGTGTCTTCTCTACGTTCACCTGAACGAAGTCCCATGTTCTTTCGCTGCCCTGCCTCGTCTCTTCTGTCAACTTGTTAGTTTTCGTCTGTAGATCTTCGAGTTTCTGCGACATTAGACATAAATCAACATCGGCGGAATCCAAGTCGTTTAGGGTCTTTTCATCGATCAGACAGCATAAACCCCTCTTTTCGCTCCACACAGTTTGTTGCATGATCCAGTCCAGTCCAGTTGACCACATTCAGGAAGATCATCGGTGATATTTGGCAGTCCTTGTCTTACTCGTGTCTTCACTTTGAAGGCATCACTGAGCTGAGCTTTGCATTGTAAATCACTTGGCATGTAGCATCATATAGCCTATAGCTGCTGTTGAATGAGGCTGATGACGGTTTGTGGTACTAAAACCGTAGTTTCGAAGCAGTAGCTGCCAAATTACTTCTCGGTCGATGCTGTCGAAGGTCTTTTCAAAGTCGATGAAGTTGACGTCATACTAAGTTGTATTTGGATTTTTTTTCTATCTTAATCTTACTGTGTTAAATTAGGTTAATTTGACACAGCAACAGCAATATACGTCATAATGTAGTGTTACTTGCTATCATTAATATCAAAGTCGAAAATGCAGGCAATATCGAGGCATCTGAACAGAAGTCTGTGTGCAAACAGAGATTAGTCAACGACGGGATAATGCAAGAAACATCTTATAAAACTTTACGCGTCGCACAAGAAGTGACTATCCTAACTCGGTGACCTGGTGGATAGCACTCTGTTGTTAGAAGTGGTCAGTCCCGAGTTCTAATCTTAGTGGGGACAACATCGCTCACTAGGAGGTAGGGTTAGTCTCGGATTCCACTACTAGCCGCTATCTGTGATTGATATACAGTATTGCTTGCTGAATGATGTCTAGGGCACAATTTATTCTTCACAGTCATATCATTGTGTTTTATCAAACAAACTAATCTAACATGGAATTATACTGTACCAAAGTGTCTAAGTCTTACTCTCACATAGAATTTATAATCCTCTTGCTTAAATAACACCAGGTTAGTGGCATAAAGCTATTGCTCATTTGGTTGGTTTTTCACTTTGGCAGTTACATCAACTCGAACGGGCTGACTAATGATGGAATCTCAGTTCGGATACAGAATACCGTTTACTATTTGCACACTTGTGTCATCCCTGGCACCGACTAGCGAGATATCCGACTATCCATCAAAAAACGAGTATTCCGCGCTACAGTTTGTACTGTCCTGTCATACGGCTGTGAGAAATGACCGTTAAAGTAGAAGATATGAAGCCGTTACAGGTTTCTGATCATAGGTATTGTCGTATCATTGCTCGTTTCTGGTGGGATTACCATGCGAGTGATGTTGATGTCAGGCAAAGGGTGCTAGGCAAGACAGGGGAGTCGATTGATGGGGTTATGAACCTTCATCGGATGAGGTGGCTTGGACATGTACTGCGCATGCCAAACCATCGTCAACCTCCACGTGCAATGCTAGGAGAAGTCAGATTGTGTTGGAAGAGTGTTGAAGGTGCCCAGACCGAGACGTGGTACCCATCGACCCTATCTCTAACTGTTATTCTGAGTCATATGAGGACATGTAGACTGCTGTGTTAGGGTCTGCGAGAAGAAAGGAATCAATGGTTGATGACGTTTAGCTACATGATTGAAAATCAGCCACTGTAGCACAAATGTATACACTACTTTATCTTTAATTTGTTTATTCTCTTACACAACTTTATCTCCTTTGATATCACTCCTTTTCTGTCCACTTGTTTTTTGTTTGCTCCTTTGAAGTGTAGCAAGTTAAACTGATGCACTTATGTGCGAGGTTCTACTTTCATTTCATTTGTTTGACTGTCTGGTTCAGTTATCTATTTCATTAGGTTAATAACCAACTCCTTACAGTAGTGAGTAGAAGTTATTGAAGGTTTTCACCATCGTGTTTTTAAATGATGGTGTTTATTCAGAGATAATATTAGTGTTCGGTTGCTTGTTAACCTGAATTGGTTTAGGCATTCATGTTTTTCTCTGATTTAGTAAATGTGACGTATGCGATGTAAAGACTAGTCTTGTTTTACAAGCGACAATGGTCCCACGAATAATAATAGTAATACTTAGACGTAAAATAGTGGTCTGAAGACCTTTCGTTCACTTGTTCTAAGTCATCTATGCAGTTAGGTTCTGAATATTGGGCTGTTTTGCCTACCTATGTGTGATGTGTGTTTAGTGTGGGACGTTAAGTGGAACACGTAAAATATTCAGCTTTTCCTTCTATTTTCTGTGATCCTATTGCTAAGAAAATGCTGTTTACTTGTGTTATGCATTCATCCATCGATTTATCGTGATGTTTACCTGAGTTTATTCTATTGGATGACGTAATGTCTCGCTTACAAACCATACACAGAAGCTTGTTGAACCATGCTAAGGAGCTTTGAAAAGAGAAACTTTCCAGTTACATACTGAGTGTGTGATTTATTGGAGCAGGATTTGAAGTTTGTTGAACGTTCAAAATTTGCAAAACGTTGTGACTGGAGATGATTGAAATTTCTGACAGTTCGTCTAGTAGTTTGGAAAGTAGTAGTATTTTCCAATATCTCTTTCTTGTGAGTCTTAGGAATTCTTCTGCAATCGGTTTAGTTGTCCTTTGCTTTCGACCAGTTGTAATATCATTCCTAAGTGCTGGGATTCTAATGTCTTCTGAGGGGATATCACCTTACTCAAGGTTTTGAGTATAATATTTGGGCGCAGTACTCGCCATTTCAAACTCGTAACTGGATTTTGTGTTGTGTTCAACTCTCTTGCCCTATCACGACTAACCTATGGCGCGTAATAATCTTTCCTAATATCTGTGTTGAGTGTTTTGTCAGTAGTAGTCTCTGACACATACAGCACTATTGAGAAGGAAGCTGCGCACTGTATCTCGTGGAGGTGCTTATATACTGTCCATCTGTATAAGTGCATCAAAATTGGTGCGTAACCTATAAAAAACTCAGCTAAGAAACTACCTCCTAGCATTGCTAGGTTCTTTATCGTTTTGTAGAATAGTAGACATTTTTGGATAACTTAGTCTAACATCCCTTTCCTCCTTTTGAAGTTGTCCATAGAACGTTCTACTTGACCAGAAGATAGTGATTGGTATTACGTAGTTCAAGTGTATACGATGTGGTTCTGATACCGAAAAGCTCAGTTTTGAGTCAATATAAAAATTGAGCTACTGTTAAAGGTGAGCGTTTCTAAAAGTCTGGAAAGTCTTGTAGCGCTGCAATGTTACATGCAGCATGCTTTAAAGTGATAACTTCAGATCATTTGGATGTTGCGCCTCTCTCACACTGTTCCATTTTCTTGACCATAGAAATTAAAGTGCAAATATGTCCCTGGGTTTTTCCATCGACATCTTTACTCGGAAGGGAACTGTACAGACAGTTAAGTTATGACCGGTACATCTTTGATCTAGATCTGTAATTTTCTTGTTTATTCTCTATCATTATTGTTAGCTGGCAGTGACTGCTGTCATTCTTTTGACATCCGGTCAACTCAGGCAAGACGACTGATTAAAGTGAGATTGGAGAGACCGTGTTCTGAGTCCATGCGACATGAATCAATAACGTAAAGGGTACCTTATCGTTGAAAGCACTTTATTACGTGATCAGTTGATGGTCTTAAAGACCAATTTTTACAAAATTCTTCTGAAAATAAGCGTCGTCATATGCTAGTTAACTGATTATCACTACCATTAAAAGTACAAATCTATAATTGATTCATTATTTGTTTCTATATTAAAGTAAACGTCTTTATTGTTTAATTTTCATCCTGCTCAGTGGTAAACCTTACCTCTTCTTCTTCGACTTGCAAAGTTGTCTCAAATTGGGTCCGGCTTTAGTTGCTACAGGATGTCCAACACCTCAGGTAATTCTCATCATCATAGTTTTTTCGTATTTGGCCCCTTTTTTGATGGAGGTATAAAATCCCACATTAGATTCGTTTAGTAAAGATACAGCACACAGTGATACAGTAATATTTACTTCATGATATCTCGAGCATAAGTTATTATCACTCATAATCATATCAATGTAATCACACCACCTTCCATACCTGAGTTTCATAGTCCAGTCAGTCACCCACCTCATATTATTTGTTTCTATTGGTAGTAAAATTTTCCCTATCTCTGGTATAGGTGTTGCACCATTCCTATAGCATGTGTTAGTTGGGTGTTGATTCAATGAACAAGGATCCAGTAAGTATGCAATCTCTCTCTCTCTCCACCTATTCATATTGGACTTCAGTACTGTAGTTTTATCACACCAATCCTATTGTGTGGTTGTGTGTTAATACATGCAATGCAATAGCCCAGTGTTTTTCCAAATCATTCATCTTATTCGCGTTTGTCATTCTACATTCAGCTAAATTCCTATGTTCTGCTAATCTAACTGACCTCGACCGATTAGTTTGACCTATGTACTTGACCTGACTCACAGTCCATTACATGGAATTTGATAGATTGGATTATTTTACTGAATTGAATCTATTAGATCTTTAAGTTGACAAAGGCTCATCTCTGAGTGAGTTTGTAGGTTTAAACCTAATTCCAGCCTTGTTGAGAATCCTGCGTAAAGTTTGTGATGTTCCTTCCTTATATGGTAGCATAATGGAGGCTGTAAACTCCTTTCTACTCGTGTTGTTTTTATTATTCGTACTCGTGTTACTGTTATGATTTGATTTCTTATGTTTTCCTACGAATTTTTAGTCAACTGTGGTCTTTACACTGACTTGTCAGTTTTCTAGCTATATCATTTCGATATTTGAATAATCCGGCTTTAACTGACATTGGATGAGATGAAATCTAGATACCTGTTGGAATGTATCAGTTTTCTGTAGACGGTAGCATCCAAACCACTGTCTGTCCTTTGTTTTATCCTACAATTCGACACAGGTAATTCTCCTAGTCCATTTTCTTCCTCTTAAGTGAATTGGACTGCGTCCACTACTGAGTTTATGTATGATGAAACTGTCGATGTGTTCCGACTTCAACAGAGTAAGTGTGTCATCCACACATTGCTACCATATCTTAGGTGCAGGAGAGTAAGTTCGTCAAACCATGTCTTCTCAACTATCCATAAATATATCTGCTACGATTGAGGATATTGGTGATCTCATTGCTACTTCTGTTTGCCTATATATATATATATATATATATATATATATATATATATATATATATATATATAAGCGTAATGTGCGTACAGTTGTGGTGAAATCTTTTTTGTTATGCAAAATACTACGGAACACCCTAAGTGATTTCTGACTAGTGAAGTTGTTCAGTAGTTTGTAAACTACGCTAGTCCATGATACTTTTGTGTTAGATATCGCACCTTGTGTTCTTGACTGATGAGTGATTTCTTTCTGAAACTTTGTTGATACCACAGTTGGACAGTTGGAAAACTACTTAGCTGTGATAAATGTCGACGTTGACCATGCAATTTGTAAATCGTTTGCAAATTGTTCATTGCATGATAAAGCTAGAAAACTGACAAGTCAGTGTAAAGACGTAAACGAGGAATTGAAACACGTAAATGAAGCGCTATTAGTTAATAATTATCCTCCTCAGTTTATTAAAAATTCGTAGGAAAACATAAGAAATCAAATCATAACAGTAACACGAGTACGAATAATAAAAACAACACGAGTAGAAAGGAGTTTACAGCCTCCATTATGCTACCATATAAGGAAGGAACATCACAAACTTTACGCAGGATTCTCAACAAGGCTGGAATTAGGTTTAAACCTACAAACTCACTCAGAGATGAGCCTTTGTCAACTTAAAGATCTAATAGATTCAATTCAGTAAAATAATCCAATCTATCAAATTCCATGTAATGGACTGTGAGTCAGGTCAAGTACATAGGTCAAACTAATCGGTCGAGGTCAGTTAGATTAGCAGAACATAGGAATTTAGCTGAATGTAGAATGACAAACGCGAATAAGATGAATGATTTGGAAAAACACTGGGCTATTGCATTGCATGTATTAACACACAACCACACAATAGGATTGGTGTGATAAAACTACAGTACTGAAGTCCAATATGAATAGGTGGAGAGAGAGAGAGATTGCATACTTACTGGATCCTTGTTCATTGAATCAACACCCAACTAACACATGCTATAGGAATGGTGCAACACCTATACCAGAGATAGGGAAAATTTTACTACCAATAGAAACAAATAATATGAGGTGGGTGACTGACTGGACTATGAAACTCAGGTATGGAAGGTGGTGTGATTACATTGATATGATTATGAGTGATAATAACTTATGCTCGAGATATCATGAAGTAAATATTACTGTATCACTGTGTGCTGTATATTTACTAAACGAATCCAATATGGGTTTAAATTCTATCACAGTGTCCAAGTTTTACAGTTTTATTAAAGAAGTATAAATTATTTTTTGTTTTAAATAGCTTTCAAAACTTCATTGTCAAACCAAATGTTTCTTTTAATATAAGAGTAAAATTTGGACTTTGTGGAGTTGTACCATTCCATTATAGTTTCATTATTTGTATCATGCAGTGTAACATTAATTACTGGAGATTGCTTACGATCATCATCCTGAATATCAACATAGGACCAGGGATTACTGTATGTTAGTCAAAGTTGCCACATCTCATATTAGCACGACTAACAAAGCAGTAAGATGAGAGATGGAGAAGGAAAGAAAAATCGACCAAAAGAAGTAAAAGAGAGTGGAAGGAGTGATGAGAAATTACTGAATTCAGTTTAGCAGTTAAGGTGAAAATAATCTATGGATACATCTGGGCCACTGACATCGCTTCTGAGGCATGTCATTTAGAGTCTCCAATTACCGGTTTCTGCTGTCACGTGGACCCCCAACTGACTAGTCTACATCTCCCTACATGGGTCAGGCCAACAGTCAAGGACTTCATGGTCAAACACCAGAAACCTTTTCATGTCGTGTACCTTTAATCGTTGTAGCAGAATTTACTGCTCATAATCATGTCAATGTGATTACACTAAACTTTCTTGTCTACTTCTTCTTATTTATAGTTTTACGGGTTTTTATTCCTTAATTTAATCGATTTCTTTTGCCTATATTCTCTGGTATGAGATTTGAAGACTTGGATCGTTATGCTGTGATGTCAGGTTCCATGTTATTGCTGACCGTTTGATTGATTGATCTAAAGGAAGGAATAAATCGTCGCTCAAAGATACGTCGAAGTTGATAAGAAGCAATTTATATTTAGTTAACCAATTATTCCCTGTAAACCTAACTCATCGTAATATTTTACTCATATTTTTAATAATCTTTCCAGGTCTGTGTAGAATCATGTCCAGAGTATTATTGGTCTTGGCGAGTATCCTCCGGTCAGCAGTTGTCTCAGGCTTCTAGAAATTCAATGATATGCTTAGATGGTGTCAACGCAAATGATCCGAAATTTTCCAGTCAGGTAGTGTTATACTTTTGCTCATTAAAAATTCTCCTTGCCTTCTTCCTTTTTTTTCTCTCCATAGTTTAGTGTTTCACTTATAAATCGATATCAGATTAACACTTACTTGTAAATCAGCTGTTCCTTCACAGTGTGAAACCGATAAAATGGACAAATCTCAGGAAATTGAATTCAAAAATTGTTTTTTTTACTTCATTTACCTACTAGATAACAATAGTACGTTTCATGTTGTATTTGATTTGGGGGTTTATGGGAATTTAGTGATTTTTCAAGTTGATATTCATCATAGACTGACACCATTTGGAGAAAAATTGGAAACCTGGGGACGCTGGACACCTGTTTCGTCCTAGTGTGGGACTCTTCAGCAGTGTGCATCCATGGCCCCACCCTTCGGGGATCGAACCCAGTACCTTAAGGTTCCGTGGCCAGCACGTTACCACTAAGTCACCGAGTCCCAATCCAATGTTCCACATTTCCAACTTCTATCAGTTCACGATATAGCGCGACCACCGCGCCATATCGTCATTGAGTGTTTGTCTTCACAGCATATCGAATTGTTAACCATCCAATAGAAATTGATGATAGTGACATTATTTGGAACAATCGTACCTTTACTACGACGTATGTTTATACTGTGGGGGTCTCGAACTCCTAGATCTAGCATAGAACTATTTGCTTATGCTATGGGATATATTGCCCATAGTTCAGGCTTTTACGCCACCAGAAAGTACTGGAAAATAGACATCAATAGGGTAGTAAGCGAATATCAGAATGTAAACAACAGACGTAGAGAAAAAAACAAATATTTTTAAAAGTGGAACTGTGGCTCATTGGTTTAGGCAGTTGTCTTTCAACCAATGGGTCACGGGTTCGACCCCCTCTCCAACTACCGATGTTTAGACAAGCATACAGTATCATTAGTCTTCATACAGTAGGTGTGACTCATTGTCTACTGCACGAGTGTACATTTTAACAGTCTTGTCTATTCACCGCATCGTTTCGTCTCCTGACCCACACTAAAGAGCTCTTACTCTGCTCTCTATGCTTTGACAATCTGGAGGCCTTTCCCCCTCCCTACCCACACTTTAGAAATCATTATGCATTTACTTGGAGGTTAATACGCATGCCTAATAGATGTGATTGAATTACGTTGATCGATACAAGCTGACTTTAGTCATAGCTTTAGGATTGCCTTTCTGGTTATTGAAACAAATGCTTACAACGTTATGACACTGAAAGTAGTCGAGAGTTTGTCACTTTCTCATACCATTTACTTGTGACAACTTCTTTCTAGTGTCAATGAACTGGAGAGAAGTTAATGCAGTATGGAACAACTTCACCGTATGCTAAAGTTAACATAAATAATCATATGAAATAATGCAGCTCAGCCTAGTACACTTGTGTATATGTACTGGGCTAGGAAGCATATTCATTGTATGAGAAGTTATGATATTAAGAGTTTAACCAGTGGGATTTCTAGTGAGACGCCGTCTGGTTTCGTTTCTTCGACTGGTTGTGCTCGGTATAGTAGCTGGTTTTTATGTCGCGTCCAAGTTTCTGTTCCCACTGCGAAATCATATAACACGTGGCCGCGTCTACCGATAATTACTCCTCTAATCTATTTTTTATATCCCGGTCTGTAATCTCAGGTGAATACTGGCGTTTCGATCTCGAAATACTTTTGGCGTGCTGGTAACCTTTTTGGCCGTTCTTTCTGAATTAGAGCATCATTAGCAGTACGTAACTTTCTCTCCATTAGTACTTCTGATAGGTTGGTGATCTGGGAGTGAGTCGGTTTCTGTTGTTTGGTACATAAGTAGGGAGTTTTGAGTTATGTCCAATGATGTGCCCCCCCCTCTATGCTTTTAGTAAAGCCCTTTTGAACATATCGATGGAACGGTCCGCTCGTCCATTGGACTGAGGGCAGTGATAGGACATGTTGTATGACACGTCACCGACAGAAGCCTTTAAATTCCATAGTTGTAAACTGGGGTATGTCTTAAAAGATAGTTACTAAGAGGCCGTGGTAACAGAAGATATTAGAGAGGGTTTTTAACGTTCTCGTGGTATTCGGCGGGTTAACAAGCACAATTTCTGGCCATTTTGAGTAAGCGTCTACTACAAGGTAATGGTTTCCATCAATGGGTGCTGCTAGATCAACATGAACCCTCGACCATGGGCGTTCGGGATTTGACCAGAGCATCAGTGATAGTCGTGCGGGATGCTTGGAGGCTTATTGACACTCCGCACACCGGTTGACACCCTGTAATTGGATGGTCCATCCGTGGCCAATGAATGTAGCTGCGAGCAATTGACTTCATGCGCTGGATAACAGGTTGACCCGAATGAAGTTTATCTAGGATTTGGTCACGAAGAGACGTAGAGACTATGACCAAGTTTTCAAACATGTGGCAATCGTTGACAATACATACGAAGTTTTGGCGATGCTGTAGCTGTTGAAGATCACCTGTAAACGTTTCTTTTGGTCGTCGGGTGAGAACAAACTGGATTGCACGCTGTAATGTTTTGTCCTTGCATGTAGCCATCTGAATATCCTCGTCAGTGACTGGAAGTGCTCTGATGACTGTAGTTGTTTCAGAAGCTGCGAAATCTTTTGTTGAAACTGCTGCAATAACTTTTCCTTCATTGGTCGTAAGATAGTCGCTTATAAAAAGAGACAAGACGTCGGCCTTACCAAATTCTTGGGTACTTTGAAACTGAGTGTCAAAATCATATCCCAGTTAAGTTACGGCCCATCGTTGAAGACAATTTTCTGTTCCAGGGCGTATTTTTTTAAAAAAATATCTGATACATCCCTAAAATACTGGTCATTTATTTTCAATATAGCTTCAAAAGGAAATAAGAGTTGATATCTCATCGGTGCGTATAATGCCTCAGCTGAAATTTTGATATGTGTTAATTTCGATGAGAATAATATTTTTCAATAGGAAGTTTCATTGTGCAAAATTAGCCTTTATGCATACAATATAGTTGGTTAACATTGTTTTATATCTCTTCAGAGCATCGATCAATTGGTACAGGATAAGAAATGTGCTCCATATGTATATCATTCCAAACCAAGTTAGTTTTGCCATACTGTTTATTATTATTATTATTATTATTATTATTATTATTATTATTAATCTGTATTGACTTTTACTGAGCCATACTGGAAGGTGTTGGCATTTACGTTGAATAGTTTGCATTACGGTCTATATATTTAGCTTCACAGTAGTAGATTAATCGATATATACTCATTGAAATGGTTAGTCGTGACAATTTATGCTTCGTGCACATTGTTCACCATTGAGTGACTAGCCTAGATGATTTGAAAGTGTTAAATATTTCATTGCTATTTTCTAAAAGACTATATTTATTATTTATTTAATAGTACTCGGTCGATGTATGCCTAGCCAACTAGATCGATTAATGGCTAACGGTACTGGTCAAGTTCGTGATGAAAGTGGTAAACATATACCCTTATTAAATGCAAATAACCAAGAGGTGAATGGTGTAGATATGGTTAAAAGTCGAAAGTAAGTCTCTTTTTTTATTGTTATCGATGATATTGTTTTAAAATCTAACAGTTCTTGGTCATTATTATCAATTTAGAAGAATTATGTCGTCATGACAAAACATTTGAAGCTTCTTTAAGATTTTCCATGTTATTCAAAACTGAAGAGTTTGGATGATGATATCAGATTAGAAGTACACCACACATTGGATTAATTTTTTTCAATACTTCGATGGAATACTGCATATTATGTACTTATTCTAGTCGATCATAACGTGGAGCTGTGTATGTCTTTGATTCAGTTAGCTTCCTTTTAACCAACTAGGTGAAAAGTTTGAACATCGATCCACCTTATGAAGTGTGAGTAGCTAGATAGTTTCACTAACCGATACATATTAGGTATGGCTCATTGTTTATACTTCTATGATATATTACCTGGATTTTATAATTTAGCCTTTGTTTAGTTCATATCTTATGTTAAAGAATGAAATTCATTATGAAACTCAGTTACACAGTCGATTTGATAAAACTTAGTTGGATGTCTCTTATACTTATCAAAAGCGAATTCCTTTCATTCTCAGCATTTAATTGAAAACGTAACATCCTAAATTCTTGTCGAAGGTTGTTTTTTTTTAAAAAAAAATTCATTGAATATAACTAACTTATTATCTTTGTAATTAGTGAACAATTATTCATAAATATAGTTTAAACTTTTAATTACATCGAAAATCTAAGAAATCTGAAATTATTTTTTATTTGTTCATTGAAGTTTGTATCGAAATTTCAGTCTTTAATTTGAAGGTTTGTGGGGATTTATTGATTTCAGGTTGGTATTATCCATCATGGACTGACACTAGTTCGAGAAATATTAGAAACTTGAGTGCATTCAGTATCTATTTCATCCTAGTATAGGACTCTTCAGCAGTGTGCACACATTAACCTTCACGTTCTACGGTCAACACGTTACCATTGACCCACTGGATCGAAATCCAGTTATCCATATTTCCTACTTCTGTCAGTTTATGATATAGAGTGACATCAGCCTTTAGATTAGTTGTGTTAACTTAAATCTTTGGAAAGGTTAATTTAATAGGCTTATGCCATTATAAAAATAAACCTCGACAAGTTAACTAGTTCACCAGTTACTAGCCGGTCGTAAGCTTGGATAAAGAGGGAAGGTTGGGCATACGGCTAGCAACCCTACCCCATAAAACCAATCCAATCGCTGCAAAAACTTCAAAGCACAAAGAAAATATAGAAAATAAAAATAAACTTATCGGTCCCTGGAATCGGAGAGGCGAAATGACGCCGGTTGGTGAAAGCCTCCAGGAAACCAATTGGCCGATTTGTCTTCTCTCTCTCTCGATGAAAGCGAAAGTGAGAATGCGGACATAGAATGTACGAACAATGTTTGAAGCCGGCTAGCAAGGCTGCCCAGATTGGCAAAGAGATGAGAAGGTATAGCATAAAAGTGCTAGGAATCTGCGAAAGCAGATAAAATGGAAGTGGACTCTCCAAACTATTAACTGGAGAGGAGTCAACAATCTACTTTGATATTGTCACCCAGACGACAACCACGAGCACACTGAGTTCTGGAGTGGCTATCATGATGTCTCCAACAGCATCGAAGGCTCTCATGCAGTGGAAACCAATTTCCTCTTGTAGGATCAGGATCATGACAGCAAGGTTCAATTCAAAAGGAAGGAAAGTCACAAGCATACAATGAATGCTACGCTACTCTAAGCACCCACAAATTATTAAGCAGGTCAACAGAAGAAGGAGGAATTCTACAGACAGCTTCAATCAGTAATAAACAAGATCCCACCCGAAATGGCGACATCAAAATCCATTCTAATGGGTGGGCTAACATGAATGCCAAACTGGGAGCAGATAACACGGGAAGAGAAGCCATCTATCATGGGTGGAGAAGCACTCGGTGAAATGATGAATGAGAATGGAGAACTGTTTGCTGACTTCTGTGCATTCAATGATTTGGTGATTGGAGGGAGGCAGTGTATTCAAACACAAGGATATTCACAAAGTGACATGGATTTCACCAGACACACTAAAAATCAGATCGACTTCATCTCAATGTGAAGAGAGTGGAGAAGCAGCCTACTGGACACAAGATCAGATCAAGAAGGGGAGCACGTATAGGTGGTTCACACCAGTCACTATCTAGTGCAAGGAACCTACCTTCAAAATTAAGTTGAAGGCTTCTCAGAAGCTGGTGATAGACGACCATAGTTCAAGTTCAACACCCAGAATTGAAAGTGACAGACGAAACTACAAAGGACATCTTCACACCAGCCATCACAACAAAATGTGAGATATTGAGCAACATCTCTGAAGAAACCTATGTGGATAAACACTGGAACTCATTGAATGGGATGTGGAAAGAGAGGAAGGAAGAAGAAAGAAGACAAGGAATGGATCTGGACGGACAAATGGAAGCTGATAGAGTAGGGAGAGGAAGATGGTGAAGCAGAAGATAAACCAGTGCAGTGCAGGAATGAACAACGAGAAGAGGAACTGAGTACAACGTATAAAACACTACACTGGACAAAGAAGTGAAGAAGAGTTCGTGGAAAGACAAAAGACACTTCTACGATACATTCGCAAGTGAAGCAGAACAGGCTGCCGGCTGGTTTGAGAGACCTGACAACATCATATCAAATAACCAAAATACTATCTGGGAAGAGATCAACACATATGAAAGCAATAAAAGATAGTGAAGAAAACCTAGTTAGCGAAGAGGAGAAACAAAGGAAACGATGGGGTGACCACTTCAGGAAACCCTTGAATCGATCACCTAACCCAGTTGCAAGTGATCCAGAAATACCAGCAGCAGCCGAGCCACAGAACTGTCAGTGGGAACAAGCCCTCCGAGAAAAGCAGAAGTGAAGTCGTGAAGGCCATAAATTTGCTGAAAGCTCGGAAAGCAGCAGGACCAGATGGAATTTCGCCAGAGGTACTGAGAACAGACGCAGAGACAACAGTGGACATGCTCACACCACTATTGCAGAAGGTTTGGAAGAAAGGAAGGAAGGAAGGAAAGGTACCTGGCCATTGAGTAGAAGAAGTCCTACCTTGTCAAACTGCCAAAGCAGGGAGACCTAAGTGTTTTCAGGAACTGATGCGTAATCATGTTCCCTCCCTGTCCACCCAAAACAAGCAAAATATTAGACCGTATCATCCTGGAGAGACTGAAAAATGCTCTGGATTCAAAATTACGACCGGAACAGGCTGGCTAGCTTCAGTAAGAACAAATCATGTGTGGACCAAATTGCAACGCTACACTTATCATCATCATGGAACAGAGCATAGAGTGGCAGTCAACTCTCTACCTCAACTTCATGGGTTTTGAAAAGGCCTTCGACAGCGTTGGCCGAGAAGTAGTAATTTGGCAGTTTTTGCTTCAACACTACGGAATACCATAAGCGTTTATCAACCTCATTCGACAGCTACATGAAGACGCCATATGCCAAGTGATTCACAATGGAAAACTTAGCTCAGTGATGCCTTTGAAGTGAAGACAGGGTAGGGCAAAGCTGCCGCCTACTATCACCCATGATCTTCCTGATTGTGGTGGACTGGATCACGAGACAAACTGTGAGGAGCGAGTAGAGGGGCATACGCTGGACCAATGAGAAGACCCTAGAAGATTTGGATTTTGCCGATGGTGACTCATGTCTAATGTCTTATGTCGAACAAACTCGAAGATTTATAGGCAGAAAGCAACAAGTTGGGACAACAGGCAGCGAAGAGGGACTCCAAGTGAATGTAGAGAAGACAGAGGTGATGGAGATACCCAACCAACAACAACAACAAGCACCAATCACCCTGAACGGGAGAAACTTAAAGGAAGTAGCCTCTTTCACCTACCTAGACAGCATCATTTCAACTACAGGTGACACAAATGAGGACGTCAAAGTCAGGATCGGAAAGACAGCAAAACAGGCCTTCATTAATCTAAAATGAGTGTAGAGATCTACTGCATTCAGCACAAAGCGTGAACAACATTTTGATTTTGAACACCAGTGTCAAGTCAGTGCTTCTATGTGATAGTTGAGAGACTTGGCGCGTTACGGAAAGCATTTCTAATAAACTACAGACATTCATGAACAGCTGCCTACGCTGGCTCGTTACTGAAGCTCAGATGGTCAGAATAATAGGAATAAGCGAGAAGGAACTCTGGCTGGCAACGAGCCAACCAAGAACGTATCGCCCAACAAATATGCAGAAGACGAGAGTGGAGATGGTTTGGATTGGAAATAAACTGAGAAGACCGTTTGGGGACATCACGCGTCAGACCAGGTTGTCGAGTGGAATCCAGATGGGGAACGACCAGTTCGGCATCCGAGGTGAAGGTGACATGGAGATGATGTGAGGAAGAAATAAAAAGCTTGTAGGCAGTGATGGAGCCAGGTTAAGAAGACTAGAGAGAACAGAGTGCAATGAAGGTGTGCTAGTGAATCCGTATGTTCCACTAGGAACCCGAAGGACAAATAATAAAAAATAATTACAAAACTGATTATAGTAGTAGATTATATAATATTACATGATAATTGCCAATTTTTTAGCATCGTCCAGCATAATAGTTAGATTATTCTAATAAATAAATCTTTGGTATCCAGAGTAATTGTGAACTCTAAATAGCTAAAATTCTCTACCCACATCCATATTTTGTATAATTCAACTTAGGAAAGTGAAAGAATAATTTTCAACAGATAATTATCTCTTTCTGCAAATAATTTGGTTGTTTCATCATAGGTGTGTCTGTGTGTGTAACTGTGTTTTTTCAGTGTCTTTACAAAATAACTAACCTGGATAGAGTAATCAGTATTTATACTAAAATAGTAGGTGACTTTAAAGCTTGAGTAGGGAGACTGAGCCAATTGGAAACATATTTTAGAGGTGTGTACGGAATCTCATGCCAAAAAACCGACAAAGGTGATCATCTGTTATTTTTGGTCAGCATTAATTTCAAGTATAAGGCGAGGCCTTTTGTCTCATATGGCG